GAATGTGTAATGATAAAATATGCTTGTGTTATGTATTTTGTGATTGTAGGTCAAGACTCGAGGATTGATTGACCGCTTACTGGAACCACTGTGAGTAACGTTATTATAAATATACGTTCATATGAATTATGTTCCAAATGAAATATGATAAGTTCTGATTTCTGAAATGATATCTGTTTTCGTGAACAAATATTCCAAGTTTGAAATCTATTATGGCATCCGTAGATAGTCCCAAACCATGAGGAACGACATGAAAATTCGGGTCCATGAAATACAAGTTTACGAGATCTCGTTAGCCACTTCATTGTGGTGATATGTGTTTAATCAGTATCCGGAACCGATTACTCTAGTCGGAAGACGTTTTGTGATGTGTTCTATGGGATGTATCATTATTATGTTCTGATATGAGAATGATTATACTCTGGTCTGTTTTCTGCTTATGATATATTCGAATTTCGTTCACTAACCTCTTTACCTTAATGTTATTCATTGGGCTTTAGCTCATTGTGTGTATATATATGTATAGGTGAGCATTCTGAAGCCCGAGCCTGAAGGCTTTTGTCTGAATCTGTGTTCTGTTGTCAGCCAACCATTGTGCCTCACGTGGAGGTTCCCGAAGCGTCCTGTGTTTATGTTCTGTGGTTTCTATTTATATAAGACTTGATTTGATGTCGTTGGCTGTACTTAAAATACTATAATGTATGTGGGTATAATGTATGGTTGACTACCGGTTATATATATAAAGTTTTAAATATTCTGTTCATATAAGTCAGCACAGCTCATTGGACAACTATATTTATGTATTAGCTTCCGCTAGCCCCTTAATTTTGTTAACCTGTTCAGAAGCCTTTGGTAATCCAAGGATTACTGGTCGGTTACAATACTAAACCTATAGGGACGGGTTTGGGTCATGACAATACCAGTACTGGTTTGAACATTACTTTGACCAGTTTTAGTAGCCATAAATTCTAAATTATAAAATAAAATTATAATTAGAATTTTATACTACACAGAAAATTTAAACAAAAAAACACAGAATTTTAAATTCTGTAAAAATAAAAGAAACAAGAATTGTAACTTTTATTTCCAATTAATTTGAAAATAAAATAAAATTTTATTTAAACAAATTAAACCAAAACTACAGAAATAAATTCTGTTAAAATAAAAGAAACAAAACAAAATGTAACTTTTATTTTTCAATTAATTTGAAAATAAAATAAAATTTTATTTAAACAAATTAAACCAAAACTACAGAAATAAATTCTGTTAAAATAAAAAAAACAAAACAAAATGTAACTTTTATTTTTCAATTAATTTGGAAATAAAATAAAATAAAATTTCTATTTAACCAAATTAATTCCACACAGAAAACTAATCCAAATTCACAGAATTAAATTCTGTAAAAATAAAAGAAATAAGAAAATAACTTTTATTTTTCAATTAATTTGGAAATAAAATAAAATAAAATTTTATTTAACCAAATTAATTCCACATAGAAAATTAATTTCTGTAACACTTCAATAAATAAAATACTTAAACAGAATTTTAAGTAATGAAAACTCAGAAAATAATTTCTAAAACCCAAAATTAATTTCTGAAAAAATTTCACAAAAATATATTCTAAATTGTTAATGACACTAGTATCGTACTACTAGTTGTCAAAGAAAATAGACAGTATATTATTACTATCTGTCAAATAAAATATAATCACTATTTATTTTTCCAACCAAAATAATATTTATCTTCATTTATTTCAGTATTCATCCACTACTGACATTAGTTTCGATCGCTTTAAAGTTTAAGAAATTAGTGTAATTACATCAGAAGCAGCATGGGGCAATAAAAAATAAAATTAGAGGAGGTTAGTGTAATTATAAGATAATTGCGGGGCAATAAAAAACAAATCGACCACAGTGGGAGTCGAACCCACGACCTTCTGATCCGAAGTCAGACGCGCTAATCCACTGCGCTATGCGGTCCGGATTAGTCTCGTTTTGCGCCATAAAATACTTAACTCGATGTCGTTGACACCTTATTTCTATCTATGTCTTTTTTCCCTGAAAAAATTAGGGCAAATTACATATACCTCCCTTGAGGTTTGGCTAAATTACAGATACCTCTTAAGATTTCAGAAATTACATCCCGCCCCCTAAGGTTTGTATTTTCATAACAATTTGCCCCCTGAGATTTAAATTTCATAACAAATTACTCCCTAAAAACCTCAACCTCGGCTTCACCGTTGGCCAGCCGGCCGCCGCCTTTGGCCATGGCGGTTGGCTGGCCTAGCTTTCTCTCTTTCTATTCTAATAATCTTGAGCCCCCTTTTGTTTTCCAGTTTTCTTCCTTTTCAGATCTAACCTCTAGATTTGTTTAGGTTGTTTGTGTTCTCGGGTCTTTCTTTGGGTTTTTGCTATTTATCCCTTGGGTGGCTTTGATCTATCTTCACTTTGTGGGTTGATGGTGTTTTGGAAGCTTTGTTGGGTGGTTTTTGGTGGGTTCTTTTCTCGGCCTTGGATGGTTTTGCTTGGTGTTTCAGCTTCGGCCTTAATGTTCAGTTCCAGCCTTGGGTGGTTGCGTTGACCAAGGGCGGGTTGGTGCAGGAAATTCATTCGGGCACTTCGCTGCGAGAGGGAGTTTGAGGGGTGGAGGATCCAGAGTTATTTAGGATCTTCATTCGAGCGCTCCATGCGAGTGGGAGTTTGAGGGATGATTTCCGTTCAATCCTTTGGTGGTCGATGTTTGTGTTCGATTAAGCTTGAAGTGGAGAGTGAAGCAAGTAAAAGCTAGGAGTCTGCTATGGAGGCTGATTGTGGGTCACGGAGAAGAGGAGAAGGAAGCAAAGGAGGTGAAGAGGTGAAGAGGCAAGGAGTTTTTCAGGTGGGGAGTTTTTCCGGCCAGCAAGGAGTGTAGCAGGTGGACCAGCAAGGAGTTTTTCAGGCATGGAGTTCTTCCGGCCAGCAATGAGTGTAGCAGGTGGGCGTGTGCAGGGTTCTCCATGGCTGGCAGGTTCGGCGTTGGGTGTTGTAGCAGCATTGGTGTTGGGCGATGGGAGTTGATGCAGTCTAGTGTTGTCAGGAGTGAGTGTAGCAGGTGGGCGGGTTGTTGTAGCAGTATAGATGAATTAGATTTTGTTTTAAAAAATAGCAGGTGTGGCTGGGTTTTGTAGGTTATTTTTGTGGGGTTATCAGGCGTGGTGGTTGAGTGCTTCAGACGTGGTGGTTAAGTGCTTCAAGAGTTTCAAGAGTGTTTCAAGAGTGCTTCAGGCGTGAGTGTATCAGTGCATCAAGTGTTGTATCAGGCGTGGGGCTCAAGTGGGTTAGGTGGGTTGTTTCAGTGTGTAGCTTTGGTTTAGGGGGCTCAAGTGTTTGGTTTTTTTTTTGGTTTTTTTTTTGTTGTATTTTAAAATTTAAAATCGTGAGGCTAAGGGATTGGTTATAAAAACGCGAGTAGCAGTGGTAGGAGAGTGAGTATTTACTCTTCGAATCTCTCTCAATGCGTTTTTTTACCTTGTACCTGTAAATTTCATGTTTTTAATGGAATTTTTCTTTGCCGATCAAAAAAAAAAAAATTACTCCCTAATTTGTTATGCAAATATAGCATCCAAGGGAGAATTTGTAATTTCTCAAACCTCATAAGGTATTTGTAATTTAACCAAACCTCGAGGGGTATATGTAATTAGCCCTAAAAATTATGAAAAAAATAATTTATTTTTTATTTTTTATTCAAATCCCACTTCACCAATAAAACATGAACATAATCAAACATTGTAGCCTAAGTTCGAATATCTCGTTTCAAATTAACCTTTGAATAAAATACACATAGACTTGAAAATCTTAGCACAAAAACTGCAAAGAAATTAAAAAGTGAAATGTGTGATTGGAATTTAGCTCCGGTGTACTGTGTACCATTTTAAAAATAAGAAAAATTTAGTTAAAACTCTTCTATTGTATCCTTATTTAGTAAAAAAGATAACCTAATTTATTTTACTTCATAGATCCCTGAGGAGGATGCACATAATTGAACAAGTACAAAGTAAAATATAATTTTTACATAATTAAACAAGCATAAAGTAAAATATATTTTTTTTCTTGGATAATATAGTCAGAGTACCATATTACTGTGAGACAAAATAATATGTTGCTGTTTACATGAATTTCGACAGTAATAATAATATATATATTTTTAAGAGTTTCATAGTTAACATGAATCTTGTTTGATAGATTTTGATGAGAGAATTCTAAAATTACTAATTTTATTAAAAATCAACATGTAGATCAAAAGTTATATTATTTTAAAGTTTAAAATTTTAATAATAGTGGTATGTGTTAAACTTTTCAAAGAAAACTTTTTGTACTTGTCTTTAATACATTAAAATTTTATTATGAGGGAATTTTGACCAAATCTCTTAAAAAATAAATTTGAGAATGCACAATTTGTGCCAAAGATTCTTTGTCCCCAACACTGATGTTATATATTATTATTATTATTATTATTATTATTATTATTATTATTATTTTAAGTTTATGAGGTAAGAAAACAAGAGATTTATCAAAAGTTACAGAAAATCATACATAAAATTGAGTTAGTTTTCATCTTTGTTGCTTTATTTTCTTGTTTTTGTTTCCTGTTAATTTGTCATCTCCATACAAAATATTGTGCATATTTTGATAATGTTTCTCTAATGGTACAAATGTTATTTCTTCTATTTTCTTAAAGAATTAAAAATTAAAAGGCTATATGTGATCCTATCTTTAGAGATATAGAGACAAAAGACTTGTCATAAAAAACCAAAAACAAAACAAAACAAAACAAAACAAAACCAGCCATTAGAGAGGAAAAAGTCGAACTTATTGTTATTTTTTCGCAATAGCAGCCCATATAGCTAGCTAGCCTTGTAACATTGGTGTAACTCATTTTGATGGTTCACAAAAACACACTATGAACAAAACAAAAAGGACAAAAAATGAAAAACAAGAACAAGAAGAAACATTTTCACTTGCATGAGTTATTGTTCAATTTGCAAATCATGGGGATTCACAAAACAATGGGATTACAGAATCTTTTGTTACGCTATCGCGCTGAAATTTACATCTAAACATTTTCAAGCATTTGCTGACATGACAACTTCATATGGTTGATCATATCAACCGTGTAAAAAGCATAAATTCAACAAATCAAATGTACACAATATACATAATTGGATCATTCTTGGTAGCACTCCTATTCTCAGTTCCTATATCCAATAAAAAATTTGACAGTTCCATTTCGACACAATATACATGACTTGATCATACTTGTGCTTCATTTAAATTTTACCCTCCAACTGTGTTCTCTGATGAAAACATTAGGTTGTTAGGGCATCGGGAAGATTGGTGGGCGCTCCAAGAATCTTACCTCCAACATCAGGAAAGCATTCATAACCCGGCAATGCACTGATTTTTCCATGTATACTTACCTGGACTGGATATCGCATCAAATGTCCTGTCATTTCCGTGTTCTCCTCTTCCACGTACGCCTTCCAGTTTTTCTTGGCAATCTCATTGACGTGTTTAACGCATTTGAGAGTTTCTGGTTCGTGGAAAGAATCTTCAAGGATGCCAAGGTGTTCAGCCCAAAGAGACATCCGATACCCGTACACCTGCATCCAACAATGTTGTTCCAATGAATGCATAATGAGTGAGTGCATACTCTCTCTGTAATAATAGGGAAGGGGAAGCTGCATAACACAGTAATGAGACTGGTACTTGGCCATCACACAAGGGAGCACCTCATCCACTAGGCCAACATTTGGTCTCAGATGGTAGGTTCAAATCCCTCCAAAAATAGAAAACTCATTCTTCGTGGGAAGAAATAAAAATGCACAAAACAATCCATCACACAGAGAAATGAACATAATTTTGAAGCCGTCTGAATTAAGGTTTCCCAATGAGCCCCGTAGTCATTTATGGTTGTCAACCACCACCCAAGAACTCCTAACAAGGTCTTGACATAACTAATCATTATATGAACCATCATAGTTGTATCTTTACAATTTTTTCTTGTTTCTAGCAATGTTTTTTTGTTTTTTTTGATCAGCGAAAGTTAGTGGTTAGTTGTTAGATTAGTATCACACCCATACACCTTGCAAGAAGATCTTGCCCTCCCGTTTCACTCCTAAGAGTGGAACCCAAGACCTCCCCTTAGGAGAGACTTAGTGGCCAAAGAGCTAGCCAACTAAGCTAGAGGCCCTTGGTTTTGTTTCTAGCAATGTAATAACTGTTCAGATGAGTTTTAGTTTCAAACCTGTCCACGTGGATGCCTCTTCTTTCCTGCCCATGTGTAATTTGGTTGATAAGCACCCATAGCAATTTCTGTATCCCTTGAACCATCTAAAGACCTCTGATTTATGTTTGCAGATCCTATTATCACATACTCATCGTCAACTATCATCCCTTTGGCATGGACATAGATCATAAATCTCCGGTACTTTTCAGCTAATCTCTGTGCAAAAAGGAAAAGTGGGAAACATATTTTACGTGGAATACATTTAATTCACCAGCTAATACCTGGCCAAAAAAGGAAGAATAGGAAACATATTTCAAATGGAAGACAGTTAGAAGTTAGAATGAACACAACTGTTTTAAAGAATGAATTTTAATATTGAAACTTCTGAAGAAGAAGAAAAAAAAAAAAGAAGATATCTCACCCGCTCTCACTATTTCAGATTTATTAAAGTACCATTTGTTTTGTATGGAAAAGTTCAGATGAAAACAAGAAAATAAATACAGACAAAAGGGGAAAAAAAAAAAAAAAGACTAATCTATAAATGAGGATCAAGTACTAAAACAATTTGGAAGTTACTTTGAGATTCTCTCTCTCTCTCTCTCTCTCACGCACACACACAGGTTCAAGGAATTTTTATCATTCCTTCTTCAACATGTTCATGAATGTGAGGGTTTATTTATTTATTTTTCCCTCGACTTGTGATTTGAAGCATTAGATCTGGACTAACATGAATGTACAATTTACAACAACTATGTGTCTTGGCTTTTTGTATGTTATTACATGAGTCGCCTTATAGTTTCTTAGAATAAGAAATACTATACCAATGCACTGTTTTCAGGAGGCTGATTAGTTTGTGGATTTTCCGGAGATGAAGCTTCACGCTTTCCAAGGCAATAGAAGTTCAAATAATCCTGTGGGTGATACTTATCAGATAGACCTTCCTTTTCAAGAGCCTCTGCAATGATTTTGTACATCATAGCCATTGTCTGCCCCTGTGATCATTTGAATTCATGATTAGCCTAAGGGCATGCTTAATCAGTAGTTAAGTCCTAAACTTAATACACGAATTTATATTTAGGAAAATGAGCAGAGCACACTGATTCCAGAACTCATTTTAATATTAAAAATATATATTAATGAACTACAGAGAAATGAGAGATTAGTCTAACCTGCCAAAAAAGAATTTCTTGCGTAGCAGAGCTAGTGGGGACACCCTCTGGATACATTGGAATTACTATATAGACAGAGAAACGTTCGTTTGCGCTGATTTTGCTGGCAATTTTCAACGCAAGTTCCATAGGAACCAGGTTATCGGCACCTGCTTCCAACAATACAACTAAAGGCTCAAAGGCAGGCTCATAAAACATATCGCAGCTCTAGTTCTTGAACATTAAGCATGCATATAAAATTCTTGAACACTATCTGAGTGAATGAAAGGTTCTAACAGGAATAAATTTAGCATCTTCACACTTCAGTGAGAAGGTGAAGCATCAATCAAATACGTGTGGATGCACAAAAAGGATTGGAAAAAAAAAAAAGAAAAAGAAGAAGAATGTAAGAAATAATGTATAGAGAAAGAGAGAGAATAAATTGTATGTATTATTATTGATTGATATTTATTGATTTATTACAATGATTCATGATTCCTATATATAGAAGAGGGTGAGTGTGTAGTAGGTAAGGAGTAGGTGAAGTGGAGGTGGTAGTGGTGTAGTGGGTTAGGTTTAGTAGAGTAGGTTTAAGTGGGTGAAGTAGGTGATAGGTTTTAACAGCCCCCGCAAACTCAAGGGGGATAGGAACTAACCAACTTGAGTTTGGAGAGAATAACAAAACAAGAAAATACATAAAAATAAAAGAGGATAAGAGACACTGTATGGTCGTGTCAGACCATTGGTCCCACTTAAACCTACTCCACTAAATCCACCTACTCTCCACCTACTTCACCCACTTAAACCTACTCCACTAAATCCACCTACTCTCCACCTACTTCACCCACTTAAACCTACTCCACTAAACCTTGCTCTGATACCATGTAAGAAATAATGTATAGAGAAAGAGAGAGAATAAATTGTATGAAAGAAGAGGAAATGATATAAGTGATATAAAAGATATATAAGAAAGTGCTGCAATTGTTGGGTATTAGGTAGTGTGGACCCTGATAAGTACTCGACGCTAACCACTTGACCACAGAGTAAAGGTATTTTGGTATTTCTGTACTTGTGACATGTAGCCTTAATTCTTTGTAAATGTAGTTGGGGGGTGGCTATCTATGTATCTCATTTGTAACTCTTTTTGATCATAGTGAAACCATGACAACGGTGGACTTGGTCCTAGCCACAGAAATCTTGTGTTCATGTATGTACATGTGATTTATGATTCTTATTTATTGTTCTTCTCTACTTTTTGTGTCTGTTGTTCTGCAATTCCTAACAGCAATGTTGGTTGAATCTCCTATTGCTATTAGCCAATATAGGCTCAAGACACTTATTTAATATGGATGAAATTACGTAAGTAAACTTGTATGTATACAGTTCTATATAAGTATAAACAACAGAATATAAGAAATCAAGAACTGAGGGGAAATAACTGTCTGTTCCCTCGTTGGAATTTGGGCATAGAGGATTTGGTTCCCCAATTCCATTTTTCTTACTATATTCTATTATTGGAATTGAAGGGCGAGCATGGCATAGCAGTAAAGCTACCCCTTAGTGATCCATTGGTCATGCATTCGAGTTGCAGAAACAGCCTCTCTGTTTGCGGGGGTAAGACTACGTACATTAACCCTTCTCCAGACCCCGCTTAAGCAGGAGTTTCGTGCATTGGGTACGCCCTTTTTTTTTATTCTATTATTGGAATTAGTGGCACTGTTTCTCTTTTCTTTGTTGTTAAATAACCAAGCTTTTAACATTCCTTCTTAGAGAAGCTATTATCATTCCTAATCAGGGGCTATGTGGTTGATTGGAAGGATATGGGTCCTCTGGTTTTCTTTCTAATTCCACAACTGTTAGTAATTTCAGCCGATGAAATTGATATAGTTGAGGTTATTACACTGCCATCCAACCATTTCAGACCCTTTTTCATAGATCTTGAAAATTTTAAAATTCTAACCTTGTACATTAATTAACTACGAAGACAGCTTTTTGTAACAAATAGGCAACGAGAGCTACTAGTGATGTAGCCATCAATTACTTATTGTGTTTCATAGATCTTGAAAATTTTAAAATTCTAACCTTGTACATTAATTAACTACGAGGACAACTTTTTTGTAACAAATAGGCAAAGAGAGCTACTAGTGATGTAGCCATCAATTACTTATCAACAATAATTAACAAAACTTAAAAAAAAAATAAAAAATGGAAGCTCAGTGTTTTTGCCTACCTGCATTTTTGTATGATGGCCAGTAATATGAAGATCCAAGAAAATACTGGTTCTCTATGTATATGAAGTGCTGTGCTGATCTGATTGCATTTACATATGCAGTGTGTATGCTCTTGTCTATTTGCATATTCTTTCCGCATACAAGGTTCTGCAATAAAAGACAGATAGACAGATTAAAGGAACCATAGAACTGGTATATATCTTAATTTGGCACACTTGCCCATAAGGTAGTGTTTGGTTCACTGGAATGAGATGGAATGAAATGATCATTTCATTGGAAAATCTATTCTGACATTTGGGTCACTTAAAAAAATATGGAAAATGCATTGAAATGGAATCATCAGTCACCATTAAAAGGGAATGGTCATTCTATAAGGAGGTTAAGGAATGATCTCAACATTCTATTACACTTTCATTCCAGTGAATCAAACACAACATAATAGTACACCTAGAGGCACAAATTTTATTGGCAAAAGCCTGCATGAAACTACTTAAGTAACTGAACTCTATAGGGTTTCATAAGCAAGTTCTAACCTGTGCCTCGGCTTCCTTAACATCCTTCGGAAATCCATGTACAGATCCTGAATCAATTGACCGAAAAACCTGGCAAGAGGAATATCTCCTAACATACTCCGTGTATAATCATTTTATCAAAAGAGAAAAATATATATTCCCTACCTGGACATGCCAATTCTCAGGATCTTCTTCATCAGTAACACGTACAGCATTGTTACCATCAGGACTAGAGGGACTGAGTATCCATGAAATCCGGTCCAGCTTTATCAATGCATCATCATGCCAATATGCAACCTTTTTGAGTTTGAAATTACGCCATTTTGAGGCTTTCCTCCATCTTTGTTCAAAATTCATCATTATATCATAAGCCGCAGGACCTTCAATCTTGCAGTGTAAATCATGCCATGGTTCCCTTGGACCGCGGGAACGAGACTACATATTTCCAGGAACATATTTGAGAAAACGATAGTTATTGGAGTACAACATCTTAAGCAATATTCTGCAAATCTTTTTAATCTAATTATACGTAAAAGCAAAACTCAGCACATATCCAATGAAAAATTTGTCACTAGTGTTAGCAGCAAAAGGCAATAACACTACGACCCACAATAAAACAGAGAAATCACCTTCTAAATGTCCAGCAACCTGATTACAGACCACAAAAAGCAGAATGACAGTCATATATATTCTCCATCTCAACAACAATAAAATTGAGCAATCACCCTAAACTCATAACTTGTGTAATTAAAAACATCAAGCAGGGATCAAAATATACTACATATTCCTAGAAATAGTACTATGATAATTACTTTCCGTCATGGAAGAATTTGTGATTTGTGAATATTTTTTATATCCTTAACAAAAGTTGGTGAGAAACACAAGCAAATTGCTGACTAAGCCCAAAGTGAATGACAAGCAGAAAACTACTACTAACTTTTTTTAGTAAAAAATTGGATTTTCTCTAGAATTTGGGTTCAGGGGAGCGCTTGTGTCCAGCTTACCTCACCATATATTAGAAACAAGAGACGACAGAGTACTATTGGATAGCTTGACATACATTGTTGGATCCATTTCCTAACAACTTAAGCTTCTAGGATTATTGGTGGACTTAACATGATATCAGAGCTCAGGTTAGGAGAGATCTTCGGTTCAAGTCTATTTGTTGCTATCTTCCTTCTTTCTATGTTTGGATTTTTTGCATTGCCATGTGAGGGAGGCTGTTGAATAGCTTGATATACATCGTCAGGCTCATTTCCTAACAACTCAAGTTTTTGAGACAATTGGGAATCTAACAAATGCATATATATACATATGAAAATTATTTTGGTAGTTGTAGTTTATATTGAATGCCAGTGCCAGAAAATATTTGTTTTGACAAATTGATGTCATATTGAGAGTGTGAAACAAGTTTTTGGCGCTAATATAAAAGCACGGAACAATTACTACAATTTATGCAGTTTATTAAATGCCAGAATCACTCAAAAACTCAGACCATGCAATGAATAAATTCATCCTTGGCATATAGTTTTAGATATGTACAACTACCACTTACTGAAAATGTGGGATTGTGGAAATCATCTGCAAAGACAGTGTCAATTCCGCGAAACAGCCTATGCTCAGGAGTATCATACCGGCCATCGCATAAATCCAAACCACCAATGAAAGCAGTGATTTTCCGATTATTCCCAGTAGCTTGAGTGTCAAGAATCACACACTTCTGATGATGTGTAAAAAGGGTTCCCACTACCTGGGTGAAAATGGTCGGTGCAAATCAATGAATGAGCAGTTAATATTCATAAACACACGCTAAATAGGCATGTTGCCTAGTTTCTAATTTGAATGGGATAACTGAATAAATAACAGTTCATAAATGTGAAAATTTGAAGCCATAAAGTAGTTCTTCCATTACCACCAGTCACTTGAAAAGAAGTATTCCGAACCTGTTGCTTGAAAATACTAAGCTTATTGCTGGCATAACGAGGACAAAGCACACAATGGACACTCGAGTGTCTGAAAAATTTTCTGGTTTCTTCATCATGAGTCTGCATGAAACCTTCCTGCTTTCAAGTCTATGATTAGATATAACACATTTATGAATGTAAGAGGAATTCCAAGTCTCTAACCAGATATGATGCAAATCTAATCATATATGACGATGCATACATAATAAGATTACACTCTTTTTTTTTGTGCAAAAGGTTCAGTACTCAAAAAACCTATATGTTATGGTCAGATCAACTTTCAACAAATAATAGAATCAAAAGTCTTTAGAAAGTAGACCATTACCGTTTTCAGAAGAAATTTGTCATGTGAAGTTTTATCATCCCAAATAAGCAGAACCACACGAACCCCTTCTTGTGACTTGTATTTTAACAAATCTCCAAGGCAAAGCTCTCCTCCAGGAGGCAATGGTCTCGTTGGCTCCCTCACAAGCTTTACCCGGTGAAATACAGACCAACCAACAATATAAATCACGTGGTGAGCTTCCAATATGGCATGACAAATATCCTCCCAGCATTTGTTTTGCTGGAAAACTTTTCCACCATCGAGCAATATTTCAGGAAGCATTGCATCGGGCACATGAGCGTCCTGATAAAGAGTCACACTGCCTCCTTTGCGGAGAGGAAAATATGTATTTGGCACTCCAACATGATCTGGCCCAGCACCAACGCCATCCTTATGTAAAGAGTTCTCTCCAAAAGGAAAAAATTGAACAGAAAAATGCAATTCAGGAAATGGTTTCAAGGGATTCCCGTAAGATCCAACTATGGGGAACCAACCATTGATAGTATTTCCCAAGCTGATTTTATCTGCACATATCTCAACCACTCCAATAAGCTGAGCCCCGAGAAGATCATTATCCTTGACCTCAAATTGAACTTTTTTTACGGGGTGAGCAACCGGTACACGAAAATGCTCGTCCCATAAAGGGTTTTCAGAGTTAGCGATTACTCTAGTTTGAGCTACAGTAGCACCGCCTAGGCAAACAGACACATAAGGGTCACTTGTAATAATTGAATGCCGACCTGAATGCCTGCCTGAACTTTTACTTTTTGCTTCAGAGGGAGATCCACAAGGCCCAAACATAGTAAAACATTTTCTCATTCTTTCTGAAGCTAAATCCATGTTTGGAAGAGATTTTGCTTCTATAATACATATATCCAATTCTCCATGCAAAAATACTACTTTCCCAGAATCACCACCCTCATTTTCCGGAGCCTTGTCGGAAGCAACAGAATCGTCAGCCATTTGGAGTTGAAACCTAGGGGCACACCAAAATAAAACCTACTATCAAGTTGTAAATAGGCATATTAATATAATTCCAAATCCATCTATTGTCCTTTACATCTCAAGGGTTCAATTTGAACCACTTCAGGAATCGTATTCTCAATTCAAACCTAAACTGTGCCAAATTTTTTATTAGAAGACACTGCCTCAGCACAATAGCAATTGAAAAGAACAACAACTTTTCTCATATTTAAAAAATTCATTTAGTCATCTACAATAACCAATGTGTTGTTTTAGAAGTTTGATGAACTTCATACTGAAATGAAAAGCCTAATACAAAAGACACAGGAATGTACTCTTTATCACCATACACAAGCAGCCAAAGTCAGATGAGAAATGGACTCTTAAAGGCCTCTAGGCCAATCAGCCCTCCAAAGCCCCAATCTCTGATGGAACTGATCCAATAATCGTCCTTCACTAAAACGCCAAAAAGGGTAAAGGAATCAGGTCAAAAGCCAAGCACATAGAGAATCATGTATATACATGTATACACAATCAGACATTGGCAATTATGTACAGGAACATAATCTTGCATATAAGCAAACTCTTAATCATGACAAACTCTTTACACCCACCAAACAAAATGAACATTTTGAGAGAAGAAAGAAAAGGAACAAGAAAAAGAAAAAAGAAAAAAACTAAAATTTACATTAAACCACATCAGCAAAATAGTGGTACACAAATGAAGTGCCTTCTTCCATTTATAATTTAGAATAAAGAAAAAGATTTGTTGCCGTTACAAAAACTGCTAACAATTCATGTGGTCAGAACACAAAATTAAGTAAAGCTTCCTGTCAACTCACATGCATCACATATACGGAATTTTACCTAACTTTGCCATCTCTGAGCCACAATAGATATTGCTTAAATTGAAGAGAAAAGGCTGTTTAAGCTAACAATCAAGTGATTTAACTTTGTGCTGCATGCATAACACAGTTTGAATCATGCTCCATACTAATGAGAATAGGAGTTGATAAATTAAACTTGTTTAAGATCTCTGGAGATTAAATTAAACTCAAATGTGTCAAAATACTTCCAAGCCACGTCGCTAACTTCTCCTAATGCCTTTTTTTCTAGGTAGACATATTTTTGGTACAGTGCTCATTGCAAGGAAGTGCATCAAATCAGGAAGACATCGATTCTTGATCGTGGGTTTTGTTGCATAAGATGGGTTTTCTCAGTTGATGGAGGCAGCAAATTCTGTAGTCTTTCCTTCTCATCCTTTCTTCTCTTTTGCATTGCTTAATCAAATAACAATTTTTGGGTCCTTTAAAAGCTCAAGGGGGTTATGTAATCCAGGCACTTCCATTTCCCATCTTCGATTTCTGAATTACATCCATTCCTTCTGTGAAGTTTCTCACAAATTCTTATGATAATTAGTTGTATCTCTTTGTTAGTGTGATCATGTGGTGTGCTCTCTTACATTTTCCTATACCCTTTTCGCGTACAACCTTTTTGATGTTTTGAGGGTTACCGGAATGGGAAATCTTGCTGGTTCTTCGTTCTTTATTTATTTTTTTTCATTTTTCATCTTTTCCCATTGGTGGCTCTTGCCGTGGAAATTATTAAAACCCACAAACCAATTTAGCCAGTGGAATTATCAAACACATGCATTAATGTATATATGAAAGAGAAAACATCATTCAGACCCACAAGCCATCTCAATCAATACACAACATTCACAAAAAAACACAATATCACAACAACAATGCAAAATCAATAAATCTATCAACAGAAACAAAACCCAGATTTTGAATCTCATTAATGGAAATAATATTGAAACAGAGAGCGAGAGAGAGAGAGAGAGAGAGAGAGAGAAGGGGTGTGCGTGATATGATGTGTTACCTTAAGAAGAGAAGGGACGGATCGGAAGGATCAGAAACATAAAAGAAGAGAGAGAGGGAGGTGGGGGAGAGAAGAAGAGCTAGACGTGTTCGGTGTGTTTGAGAAGACAGAAGAACAGAACCGCAACGAACCGATATTGGCGGGAAATCCACGGCAGAATCCATTGTTTCTGTTTGTTTCAGAATTCGACACCGAAAAAAATGGTTATTTCCCAACCACCGGAACGCAATGTGGCAAAATGACACCGTTATTTTATTTTATTTTTTTATTTTATATTTAGGATAAATTACACTCACTTATGAATTTAGAAAAAATATAGTTAGTCTTATATTTTTGACACAATTTTGTAGTTTTAATTTATATAACATCTATATTTTTTTTTATTAACAATTCATCGTATTGATGAAAAAATTATATTATCGTGTCATTTCTATTAAAATATAAATTTATGCGTCTATCTAATATAAATATTAATTTGAATGAATGACTTTAATCTTATTAAAAGAAAATTAGTTAATTATGCCAAAAGCTAACCGTATTTTCTTTAAATATCATAATAAGTAAATTTAATGGGATTTTTATTGATAAGTCCAATTTAGAAGTGTTTTAACCCAAGAAGTCGATGAAGGAATTTTTTAACCCATTTAGTCCCATGTATGTATAGTTTTATTCCATAAAGTCCATTTTTTTGATTTATGCTATTTTCTTGGACACTTATGCCCTTATATTTAATTTTGATACCCTTATAAATATTTTTTCAACGATTAGCAATTTAATGATGTGAACATTCATATTTTGAAATTCACATTTGAAGGAATGTAAATTGGCCCGTAGGTGGCCCGAAACCAGCCCGCGAGCCAGGGCGGGCCCGGCCCGTTGACAATGTGAATATTCACATTGACATGTTAAAATTCACATTAATAGGAGTGTAAAATTGGCCCCCGTCCCGTGGCGACGCAAAACCTGCCCGCGGCCCATGGGTGGCCCGGGGCGGGCCCGGTCCGGCCCGTTGACAATGTGAATATTCACATTGACATGTTAACATTCACATTAATAAACAAGCTTGATTTTTTAATTTTTTTTAGTAACTTATTGATTTAATTTTTATTTTTATTTCTCAACTATTTTAACCAAAACACATATTCCCAGACCGGCTGATGCCCTGCCAAATTTGGAGAGTTACTTTTCAATACTTAACTCCATTTTTAAATCATGATTTAAATAAAACATACTTTTAAAATACAATTCAAAATTACTTTCAAAACTCCTCTTTTCTTTTTTCTTTTATTATATTATTATTAATCAATAATTAAAAAAAAAATTACACATCATCTCAAAAATATTTTCAAAACTCATAACCAAACAAATTTTCTTTTTTCAAATCATGATTCAAAAACTCAAAACTCAAAACACAACTCCACACTCAAATTATAATTTTAAAATTAAACCAAAGAACAAAAAACAAAAAACAAAAAAAGAAAAGAAAAAAGACAATACAACACCAGACACCAGATGTTCATGGTGTCGTACCGTCCTCGCTTTGCATTTCTACAAGAAACAGTGGCAACATTATCTGAATCATTCTCACCAACAAACAACACCACCATAATCAATTATACCATGTGACAGTTTGTTCTAATGGAGATGACAGGCACCATCCAATGCTCTCAAGAATGTTAAACGATCACCATAACCTGAGCTTAAAATTTATCCAGTCCCAACTAGTTGCTCTCCAGATACCTAATATATCTTAGTCAACTATGCATCCATAGTTCCATTGGTGAGCCATTTTCCAAATAATTCCCCCTCAACAACTGACACATGTTAGAAACAAAACAAATCCAACTTCTGGATCAACATGAAATAAATGAATACCACAATTCATGTTATTTTAATACCAGCATATGTTAACTCAGTGACAACAAATGCTACTAGCGTCTAATCCAAAAGAGGAAGAGAGAACGAAACACAGACAGATTAGGACTATTTACCACAGAAAGCATCTAGAATGTCTTTAGGTCCGTTTTTCTCTCTCATACACACGCACACATACACAAGTATGCAGAGGCGAAGTCATATTTCATCGCATCATCTCAAAGGTATTCGAATCTTCTCAAACACTCACCTGCAAGAATTAAATAAAAAATGTCAACAAAACCTGGGAGCATGGGGAAGAAAAATATTGCTTCATCACTACATTGTTTTTGCTAAATTTACAAATGGATTTAAACATCAGCCACAAAATCCAATCCTGAATCTTGATAATGCGATATTGGTAAATTTTGAAGGGAAGGCGATAGCTGAAACAATAAAACATTAAAATAATGTAGAAAAAATTGAAGAACAATTGATCAGTAAAAAAATGAATAGTTCCTATTTGAACTCTCTATGTTGACTGGAGCCATACTACTATACTATTCATTGACTGTGGCACTTGTGCAAACGGATGATATACTCCAAACACAAATCTATACATCTTTCCACCCAAGAGACGGGTAACTTAGTAAACAAAATTTCACAACAGTGAACTAGCCGCTCAATTAATCACCCAATTACTGGCAAGGGGGACACCAAAATTTCACTGGAAAGGTGCTCCCACTTGGATTGAAGCTTCAAAGGTCCCACAAATAAAGAGCTTGAAAAACAAATTTATATGACTTCAACTATGAGAGGTGGGGTTAAACAGTCAGATCAGACATTTACAACAGGGTACAGAAAGGATTGCCAAATTACTCAAAGTGCTAGAGAAGAGGCTTGGGTTTGGGGATTAGATAACACAGAAAAAGCTTCATTGATACAAACAGACTCTACAAATAGATGATACGTACACTGATCCTGCAGGACCACTAACAAAGTTTGGAATCCCACACACACACACACACAAAAAAAAAAGAAGCTACAGGCCAGAATTTCAAGGACTGCAAAATCCAATTTTCTTTGGTAAGTACTAAGCTTATAGCAATCTTTCTACAACTGACATTATGGAGGACTTGAACTAATCAGAGGAGGCTGACTCTTAACATGAATAGATGAATTATTTAAGCAGAGTCTACATGGCCATACCATATCTATTGGCCCAACTTCTACAGCAAGTTCTCAAGAGAAACAGAAACTTTCCTAGCTTCCAGCCAATATATGATGCAATCCTTGTCTTAACACATAATGCAATTTAATATTATGTCCAATAATCCAATATAATTGAATGCAGGAGGGGACATAGTATATTAAAGGATACAATTTACTATCCTGTACAGCCTATATCTTATCCCATCAGATTTCCCCTTCAATATCCAAACACACGTAAGCGAATTACCAAACAACGAATTGAAAATTCTTATGCGAAAATACTACATTCTAAAAAATAAAATAAACTTAGACAAATGTCATAAGCAGTCCCACTATGTTACTTGTGTTGACTAACCAGCAGTATGGTGGGATTATCAACCACAAAATGTTCTCCAAACATATTAACATCATCATTGCACATCTAATTCACCTTATTTAAGCTTGTTCAGCGATCGAACATTGTTCATGCTCATACTTCATTCACACCCATTTGAACAAAGGGGTGAATGTTAACGGGTATCATCTTATATTCACTGCTACACTGGCAATAACAGAGCAAGGCATAACAGGGTTCAGAATTGAAAAGGATAAAATCTTACTTGTTATGCCAAGTATGTGTTGTGGTTGCATAGTTCCTTGGCCCACCCGGCATGTTGCTCCTCTGCTCCACCTGTGCGAACCTATGTTCTTCTCCATGCCCAGGGTAACTATGCCCATAGCCAGAACCTGTTTCTTGCCCGTGAGATGAGCCAACTCCTTGTCCATAATTTCCCCCTGCACCTTGTCCATAATTTCCCCCTGCACCTTGCCCGTAATTCCCCCCCACTCCTTGTCCTTGCCCATAATTCCCCCCTGCTCCTTGCCCTTGCCCATAATTCCCCCCCGCTCCTTGTCCTTGTCCATAATTCCTCCCCGTACCTTGTCCTTGTCCATAATTCCCCCCTGCACCTTGTCCTTGTCCATAATCTCCACCTGCTCCTTGCCCATGGGCTACACCCTGTGGAGGTCCATAATTCCTATTGTCTCCTCTGAGATCCCTCTGCCCAGGAGGCATATAATCCCTCTGCTCTGGTGGGATTCTTCCTCCTTGAGGATTATAATATCCTTGCTCGTTTTGGCTGTAATTAGCCTGATATGAAGGCATTGGATCTCTTCCTCCAGGAGCGTTGTTCAATGGCATTGGATCTCTTCCTCCGGGAACATTGTTCATTGGCATTGGGTCTCTTCCTGGACCATAATTTGGCTGCATCGGATAATTTTGTTGTTGTCCAAAGTTCCTTGTATCCCCGTGCATGGGTCCCTGATTGCTATACACAGGATTACCTTGTTGGTTTGGCATTGGATTTGGACCCCTAGGCCGGTTCCGGTTAAAATCTCTATTTCGATCACCATATCTTCCCCCTTGCCTCCCATACTGAAGTGGAGGTGGTCTAGGTGTGATTACTCCATTCTCATACTTATCTCCTGATATTTACAGCCGAATAATTTAAGTCCGAAACGATAAGAAAAGCACAAGGCAACTAATAGCTTACTTAAACAAGATGTAGTGTTTGTTTGGTTCAGATTATTTGGGCTTGTTATCAACCCAAAAATGATTAAACCAAACCAAATAATCTAAATTAAACACACACTTAGTGTATGGAAACAGGTGGAAACATCGAATAAAACTGTAACAGAATAAGATTTCTACCTCCATATTCTTTGTTCACTGGATCAATGTAGGAATCTGGCAAAATAAACACAACCCCTGGCAAACCTAATTCCAAGAGAAAAAAAAAAGGGGATTAAAATCAGTATCAGTAACCTCAGCATGAATGATACAGTGGCTTACCTCTAAACTTCTCAGACATTTCCTCCGTCACCAGACACTGAAAACCATTAAACAAAAACTAATTTATAAAATTTTTATAAATATAAACTAAAAACGTAAATGTTACCAAACAGACCTATATGTATGGAAACAGGTGGAAACATCGAATAAAACTGTAACAGAATAAAATTTCTACCTCCATATTCTTTGTTCACTGGATCAATGTAGGAATCTGGCAAAATAAACACAACCCCTGGCAAACCTAATTCCAAGAGAAAAAAAAAAGGGGATTAAAATCAGTATCAGTAACCTCAGCATGAATGATACAGTGGCTTACCTCTAAACTTCTCAGACATTTCCTCCGTCACCAGACACTGAAAACCATGATAAGTTGTGGTGCTAAAAGCATACATCTTCTGCTTTGCCTCTTCGTAACTATAACCCAACAAAATTAAACCAGAAGGAGACAAATTATGTACAGCAACAAATCTTCAAACAGTCAGCAAAAAAAAAGACCCTAGCAACTAACAACCGCTGAGGTCAAAACAATAATTATCAACATGATGAATACAATATCCAACAATATCAAGTATTGATACAAATACTACTGTTTGACTAAACAGTCAACAAAAGAACCATCTTATGTTCTAATTGGTTCGCGGGAACGTGATGGAATGGAATGAAATGATCAATCCTTAAGCTTCCCTATGGAATAATCATTTCCTCACAATGGTCCTCACTGGGGATGGCAAAATACCCCGACCCAACGAGTCCCCGACCCTCTCCGATCCTAATAAAATGGATTTGGGAGTTTCTCAATATTGTAGGGTCGGGTTTGGGGTGAGAATAAAAAAACCCCAATAGGGTCTGGATCGGGTACGGGGGAGGATAATTCCGTCCCGCCCCCAACCCGATTATGTATATCATTAAAAAAATCTCATTTTTAAACATATATATATATATATTTTTTAATGATATAAAATTATCTTTAACATTTTTTTCCTTCTATTTTATGTTTTCTTGATATCACACTTCTTCTCTCTCAATTTATTCTACAATTCCACTAAGATCAATGTCAAACAAAACCAATTATTATAATTTATAAGTTATTTATCATCAAAAGTTATAAAATCACATTATTAAAACTCAATACGAAAAATATAAGTTGTAAAGTTAAAACCCTAACTAAACAGTAGAAACAAGAAGAAGAAAAAACCACAAAATACGCGATTCAAAATCCTATATTGACATGTATGAAATTGGGATAGGTGAAACAGACCTTCCGACGACTTTGGCTAGGGTTTGGAGGTAGGTCTCGATCATTTCTTCACGAGACGGTGCAGGGTCCTTGGGAAAATCCATGGTGATGAGCCAGTGATTGTAATCACAACCCTCAAACAAAATCGTGTCCGGCCCTATTTCATCGTTGTTGTTGTTGTTTCGATACGGAGTTCTAGCCGACGAGAGCTGAATCGAGGACGACCTGAAGTGCCTGAACTGAAATGGTAGATGATGTTGGAATGGTTGAAGGAGATCGAAACTAGGGTTTTGGGGGTTGCTGGTGAGGGAGGGGGGTGATGATGAGGTGGAAATGGAAGGGAGTGTGGAGATCGGTGTATGGTGTTTGATGAGGGAAGAGGAGATAGATAGGGCTCGGCGGAGACGGAGAGAGGACAGCGCCATGGGCATCGACGGTTAGAGAGAGAAAGTGACGGTATTAGAGAGAGTGAGAGAGAGCGCTAGGGTTTTAGGGGTTTAGAGATGATCAGCTTGGCACTGGAGTGACGAGCTACTGCGGTATTTTAACATTGGGAGAGGTCATTGGAGTGTACTGTTGGGAGGGTCCAATAATCTGAATTATTTAATGCGCCAAATTTATTAAATATTTTATATTCGTAAAAAATTATATTGATTGGATATTAGTTGTCATTTGATCTTAATATATTTTTATTAATAATTTATTTTTAAATCATATTTATTATTGATAAAAATATGTTCCAATTAAAAAATTATCGATATTTGATAAATATAATTTTTTATACATATAAAGTACTTGACAAGTTATATATATTGAACAGTTCAAATTGTTGAAACGAGACTCGTAATAGTTCGCATGAATTCAAAAATATGCTCTAATCCATAAAATAATGGTTTTACAAAATAATTATAAACTTAGGAAAAATTTTAAAATTTTAATTATTAATAAATATAAATTCGGTTTTGGTTGGTAGCTCGAAATTTAGTGGCCCTAATGGCCCTAAATTTCCATATAAGGCAAAAAAAAAAAAAAACAAGGCAGAAAAAAAAAGAAAAAAAAAACAGACTTATCCCAAAAAGGAAATTAGGGCCATTAGGGCCACTATTTTTAGGGCCACAATTCATTTTCCATATAAATTTTAGGGAAAATTGTTCTAAGATCCCTGCCTAATCTTGATAGGAGAAGAGGTCCACAATAATATTTTTTGATACCTAAGTTCCCTCAACCTTATTTTACGTTGTAAATTACCTAATTTATCATTCTTTATAACATACGTTTATTTGGATTTTGACAAACTGAATATTCTATTACTGTTTTGTAGAAGATTTCATAGGGATGAACTTCACGGTGGAGATTTCGTAGGGATTTTGCAAATGTTGCAGTGGACTTGACGATGGAGATTGCAATGGTCGTTACAATGTGTTGATTATGTAGGTTTTTCAGTGGAGTTGAATCATGTATGTTTTTTATGGAGATTCTATATGGATTTCGATTCTGATTTCATATTAATTTTTTGAGTGTATTTTGCATTAAATTTTTATTTTCAGTTTTGATCCATTTAAAAAAGAGGCTAGCTCAGTGAAATTGCTTATGATTTGTTGAGTTGATTTTTCATTCTCTGTTATTGATCAATTTTAGAGAGAGGCTAGCTTGATAGAGTTGATTTTGAATCATGTATGTTTTTTATGGAGATTCCATATGGATTTCGATTCTGATTTCATATTAATTTTTCGAGTGTATTTTGCATTAAATTTTTATTTTCAATTTTGATCCATTTAAAAAAGAGGCTAGCTCAGTGAAGTTGCTTATGATTTGTTGAGTTGATTTTTCATTCTCTGTTATTGATCAATTTTAGAGAGTGGCCAGCTTGATAGAGTTGATTTTGATTTTGATTTTGATTTTTGGAGTTCATTTTTCATTATCTGTTTTTTGATCAATTTCAAAGAGAGTTGACAGTGGAGTTTATTTTGATTTTTAAAGTTCATTTTTCGTGCTTTGTTTTTCATCAACATGCTTATCAATGATAAGTTTTGTTCTCTATTTTTTCAAACCAGAGAAATTTCTTTAAACCAAAGATAAGTGTAAATTTCTTATCATTTTTTGTTCTCTAAGTTTTGTTTTTTTGTTTTTTTGCACTTTTGTTGGTATAATTCAGAGAAAATTGTAAGTATGTTATTATAATTCAACGAAAATCACAGAGAAAATTATAAGTTCATATAGACATATTATTATAAGTTTCTAATGCAGATAGAATTACAAAGAAAATTGTAAGTTTCTAGTCCAGTGAAAATCACAGAAAAAATTGTAATTTGTTATTATAGCGATCCTGGTTTTTCCTTCCTTATTTACTGTATTCCGGACTCGGTTCTGTTGATAGTTGTGGTTGTCTGTATTTCATTTTCGTCCTTTACTGCTTTGGATTGGAGTTTAGAAATGTCTTGGGCGTGTTTCGAACAGGTTGGTTGAGTTTTAGTCCCATTTCTTGTTGCCCAGATTTTTGGTGGTCCGCTCGAGCGGATCCATTCGCGCTCGAGCGGAGTTTGCACACCTTTAGTAGTTTGTCCGTCTGCAAAAGTACTGCAGATGTGTTTTTCATGCTCGAGCGGATTTCCTTACGCTCGAGCGAGTCGCGCTCGAGCGGGTACCCTTGCGCTCGAGCAGGTGTTCTTTGTCTGTAAAAGTACTGGAAGAATGTAATCTAGTGTAATCTACACTCGAGCGGGTTACCCTTTGCGCTCGAGCTGGTGTGTTTTACAGTTGTGTCTTGACGCTCGAGCGGGTATTCTTGCGCTCGAACGGGTTCAGTTTTTGTGCTTGACGCTCGAGCGTCCTATTCTCCGCTCGAGCGGACTAGTCGTATGTCAGATTGCAGCAGGGTGATTTTAAATCACTTTTCACACTTTTTCTCTCTTACTTTTCAAAACCTCTATTGGAGAGCACCTCACTCTAAAATTCCAACTTCTCTCTAGGGTTTGATCTAGTAGGAGTGAGTTTCTATCCTTGAGCCTTTGTAAAAAGTGTGGAGCTTGTTGAGGGCTAAATTTTGATCCGAAAATATTGGGGTTTGGAGCATTTCGAATTTCTTAATCTTCCTCCTTTGAGGTAGGGATAACTATTCATTTTTATGAGCTTTGACCTAAATGTTGAGCTTTTTGTATAAATGGTTTGATTTGGAAAGTTAGGGTTTGAGATGTATTATATTAGAAAGAGGGGTTTTATTCTTTTGATTCAAACATTTGTGTTTTGGGTCTAAAAAGGAGGTTATTGACGTTGTTGTCAATATTTGGACCTTTGGGTCAATGTTGAGGAAAGGGGGAAAATGCCATGTTTGGGTATATTGGGGTCATTAGTGTAATTAATGACATTTATTATGGAAATATGAAATTGAGTGGAAATAATGAAATTGGCTCATTATGAGGTAGAATAGGTGGAGTTGGATTCATTAATCACTCACCTTTGAAAATGTTGATAAATTATCTGTTGATATAATTATTGTATGTTTAGAAATAATTGTTTTGGGCTATCGGTGGAGAATAATTTTGATTGTTGTAAACATTGCATGATGATTAGGCGAATTAAAACTAATCGGTTGTATGTCATTGATTATGATGAATGAAATAATACATCAAATTTGTGTATTAATTGAATATGTATATGATAGATGCTTATATACATTGTGTTGTGTGGGAGGAGATAGGGGATGTACTCCACGGTTTAGGGGAAGATAGAGGATGGACTCTTAAACCGGATATTGTTTGGGAGGAGATAGGGGATGTACTTCATTGATATAGCAAATCTGTGTATCTATTGAAGTATTGATACAGCGAATATGCGTATCTATTGGGAAGTATGGAAGTGTTTTGTGTAATATTTATACAGCGAATATGTGTATCTATTGTGATGTATGGAAGTATTGTTGATATGAGATGTAATCTCACTTAAATAGTTTGGCCAGGTTCTGAGCCACGGTTATGAATTGAGAATCGGTTAAGTAATGGAAAGAGAAATAAAACATGGACATATTTGTCATGTAATTGAAACGAATTATGAATTGATTTATGTGAGTTAAACATTTATTAAATGCTAATGTTTTAGTTTTTACTCATATTATGTTTAGCATATCTCTTCTGGGCGTTGGCTCACCCTATATGGGACATCATTTTCAGGTACAGGTGTTATGCCACCTCCAAGGACGTAGCTTGGGAGGCTTGAGGCTGTTAGACTCTTTTTGTTGTTTTTGTTGTATTACATGTATATCAAACCGATGACTTATTTTGTGTAGAGTTAGTACTCTCCTTGTTATAACCAAGTGTTGACTTGGAAAATTGTAAGCCCGTGGGGCATTTACTTTTGACGTCAACATGTAATATTTTTGTAATGAATACTCTGATGAAATGAAATTATGCTTTATTCTCTTATGTCTAAGCATGTCAAGATTATATAATTTATGGTTTTATTTTGAGGGCGTTACAGTTATGGACATATTATAAGTTTGTTATTTTTTTTTTCTTTCTCAATTGAATGTTTTGTGAGCATAACAGATCTTTTCTGAGTTTCTCTGAGTTTGTGTGGAATAGTTAGCATTTTTGTCAATTTGATGTTAATATGTTTTTGTTTTTGTGATCTTGAAAGTGAATATAAGTTCTTAAATTTCTCTGAAATTTTATTTGTAATTCAAAGAAAATTATAAGTTTGTTATTATAATTTAGAGAAAATAATAATTTTATTTGGACATGTTATTATAAGTTTGCTATTTTTTATTTTTAATGTCTTGTAGACTAGATATATGGATTGAGGATTTAATTGAATGTTTCATTTATGAGCAAAAGTTATTTTTTGTGTTTTTTCTTTCAGTTTAGATAGACAGTACATTGTTTTTTTGTTATCTTAAAGGTGTATATAAGTTTGTAAATTTTTATGGATTTTGATTTGAGTGCAATACTGCACAATCACATAGAGAAAATTACAAGCTCGTAATCCAGTAAAAATCATAGAGAAACTTATAATTTCATAACAGATCTTCTGTGTGATTTTTGTCTATGATTGTGTTTAATAGTTAGCATTAAATTTTTCTGTGATTCTTTCTGGATTCATTAAGTTTTCTGTGATTTTGTTTTTGTTATCTTAAAGGTGAATATAAGTTTGTAAATGTCTTTGGACTTTTATTTGAGTCCAGAGAAAATTATAAGCTTGTTATTATAATCTAGAGAAAATTATAATTATTAGAAACTTCTCTGGACTTTTATGTTATTCTTGTAAAGTGTTTTTATATTGAACAAGTTATTTTTCTTATTTTTGCTTTTAGTTTAGATGGACAGTGCAGTGTTGTTGCTGTGCAAATATGGAAATGATACTATTGTCATTAATGCTTTATGCGAATTGAATTTTGAAGAATTGGTTGGCATTTTGCGTAAAACATAGGAGAATTTGAAACTTGAGACGATGTGTATTTCATATTCTATTATGGGTCATCCGAATTGTACGGATCGAAATAATATTGATTTTCTGAATATGTTAAGGGTTGTTTGTGTACGTGGT